GTTTAATTGCCCTAAATAGTTAGCTCATCTGCATACTTCAAGAGCCACATCCGAAAATGTTGATATTTTCACTTCCTATATCAAACTTAATTATTTTAAATATGTATTTATTGTTTTCTTAATGCATGGTCTCATCTAGCCCAGGCAGACCCTGAACTGACTATGTGGCTAAAGATGACCTTGAACACCTGAGTAGTCCGTATCCAACTCACAAGTACATCAAACTCAACTTAGAAAATTCAAGCAGAAGAAGGGAAGTGTTTTCATTGGTTCACCATTTTCAGTTTCTACTCGTCAATGCCCCCCCCCGCCCCCCACTCCCGGCCAGTGTTCATAGATTCATTCTTTCGTTGTTGCATCATTTGGAGAAACTTTTGTATTCCTTCTTTTTAAGGTGATGACTTTTCTTGTCTAAGAATGTCTTGATTTCCCCTTCATTTCTGGATAATATTTTTTGCTGGATATGGGATTCTGGGTTCCTCCTCCCCCACACCCATTTTTCCCCCTCTTCCTCTTCTTGTGCCTGGCTGTATACAGTGTTTATTTGTCCTTAGTGGTAAGGAAGAAATACCAATGTTCCCACCTTAACTCATCCAAGAAATGAGAGGATTGAACGTTTTTTCTTTGTTTAGACTGGAACTTGTAAACAGGAAGTGGACTTGCTTCCCATCGATGGGGAGCAGCGTGTGCAGGAGCTCAAGGCCGGATGGAGGATTTTAGACTTTTGATCTGGAGGACAGTTTTAGATGTTGAATTTACAATGATAATTGGGTGGGTTGTCTAAAACATGGGAAACACGGGGTGTGGAGGCAGAGGAGTTAGAGAAACTGAAGGAGAGTAGAACTCCAGAATCCAGGGCTGGGCTGAGGACATGCTCACTGAAGCAGGATCATTCCCGAGGCTCTCCCCAGGGCCACCTCCAGCTCACTGCATCTGCAGGTGACACTTCTCCCGAAGTGAGCTGAACCTGAACCAGTGTTCATTGCGCACCTGCTGTGTTCATGGCCCTGAAGCTGTGCAGGGACCGGCATCCATTGTGGGCTCTTGCCGCTTCCCATCCTCCTCCTCCTCTGGGACGCCCCAGGACCAGCCCTTACTTGTTATTCCACAGAAAGAGACCATGATAAACAAAACATTAACTAGACACGATGGCTCACAACTAATCTTTACACTTGATAGGCAGAACCCCAAGATCTAATGGAAGAAGGGCTTTCCCCCAGACAGTCTGAGGTAGCTACAGGAGCCACTGCCATGCCCCTGACTTCTGAGGTTATACCAAGCACTCCAAGTTATCTTGGATTTGTTGGGTGGCTGCCCTGGTCCATTGCTCATGCCTGACACTCTTTAGAGGCCAGGCAGCTTGGGACAGCTTTTCCAGCCAGAGAACATAGGTTTAGCAGGTAGGGTGTCATCTTTAGACTACCACCCACCTGAGACAGACTGGCTGGTGTTGCTCTGCTCCTGGGTCTGCCTGGGTAGCCACAGGCTCTGCCAGAAGGGAGCAAGGTTCCCCAGGTTTACGATGAGGCTCTGGAGGAGGAACTTCTCCAAGGCCCTCTGCGTTGTGCTCACTCTGGTTGCAGCCAACATCCTGCTGGTGTTTTACAGCAAGAGGACCATACACAGCTGGGCTGTGGGCAACCTCCACCAGGAGGACCCTTTGGTGGCCCAGAGACCCTTGCACCTGGAGAAGGATGTGCACCATTCAAGTAAGTTCTACACCCATTGGGTGTGCAGGCTGAAGGAGCTTCAAGAACTTAAGAGAAAAGGGCATGGAGGGAAAACTCAAGGGAGAGGCCAAGTCTTCAACCTGATAATCACACTGTTGGACAATGGACTCCATAGACAAGGGAGTGGCCCCAGGAATCTCATGCTGGGAGGTGGAATGAGTGTCAGCCAGAGGGGGATCTTGGCAAAGATTTCACACAGTTTTACCAATTTGTCGTATCACCACGATGAGCCTGGAGCCCAGTCAAGAATGGGTTAGTGGTGGGTAGCAACAACATCTTGACAATCGACACCTTAGAAGTACATGTTGTTGGACCTCTGTTTAAACTTCATCTGACTTCAGGACACAGAAAATTGATTGAGGGCAGGGGTTGGAGGAGGTTTCCCTAGATCTCTTTGTTTCTCTCGCCAACTTAGCTATGTTGAGTAAGTCTCCTTTTTCTGCTTTCTGCTTTTAATTGGCTCATTGAGGATCTGACTTGGGGTACAGGTTGTGATCCCAAGTTGGAATGTTGGGAGAGGGACCATCTAAGGCAAAGATCTTACCCTTTTTTTTGCAGAATTCTCATCATGATTATTTAGTGGACTTACTAGGGGGTCAAGGATCCAATATGGACATACGGTGTGAGACTCTGAGCGAGCAATGACAATGACAGGGATGAGGAGATGAGGACAGTGACCCTCAAAGGGCTGTGACTTGTACACAGAAAGTAATATGACCCTCCACCCCCAACGCCACCCCCTTTTGAGACAGGATCTTGCTCTATAGCTCACGGTGGCCTGGGATTCTCTGTGTAGCCCTGTCAGTCCTGGAACCTGCCATCTTCCTGCCTCAGCCTCCAGAGTTCTGGGATTTACAATGTGCACCACCATTCATGACTGATAAATGTTCAAGGTTAGCTTCTTTATTTAAACTTCAGGGTAAGGTTTCAATGTGCTTTGGGATGGTTTGTGATTCCCATTCCTCATGAAAGTCCCACTTCCCTGAATTGCTAGTGTCTGCACTTCCCACATCTGGGAGTCAAGTGCTTGGTCCTTTAAAGGAGGCATTGGCTGTTTACACCCAGATTAGGGGTGCAGTCCTGGGGTGGAAGAGTGTGGAGCCAGAACTAAGGACAGTGCCATTATTATTATTTGACTTGCCGCTTGCAGCCCTCTGACCTTTATGTTCAGAGTGCTAGGATTATAAGTATGTGTTGTCATGTCCAGTAAAAGTGTCTTTTAAAGTGGTGGAAGCATGACAAGCAGGCGATGTGTCATATACTTGTGGTCAAGAGTTCAAAGTCCATAACAGACAACACAGCAGAGGTAAGCCAGGGCTATAGGAGGCTCTTCCTATAAATAGACGAGAAAGCAAATAAACGAGACATGACCATTTATCATCGTTCAGAGTGAAGAAGAGGGGTGGCTCATGCATGCTCTCAAAGACACACAAATTAATTAAGCAGATAACAAGATTCAGAAATGGGTTCTGAGCCCGGGAGAAACAAGGACCGTTGTGTGAGCATGTGCTTGGTGTGGAACAGTATGAATAATAACGGAGTTGTGTTGGAACACTCAGCACCATTGTGTGAGCATGTGCTTGGTGTGGAACAGTATGAATAATAACGGAGTTGTGTTGAAACACTGCCCACACCATTATGTGAGTGCATGCTTGCTATGGAACAGTATGAACAGTAGTGGAATTCCACAGGAACACGCAGCAGTTTTGTGTGAACACGTGCTTGGTGTCAAACAGTATGAGTAATGATGGCATTTGATTGGAACACTCTGCACCAAGCTCTCACTTTTCTTTTCCACCTGAGCAGACATGCAGGGCATTTACACTCTCCTCTGAAAGACCAAACACTGTTTTCTCCCCAGGTTTGCTTTCCTCACCCCCCTTTTATCTTGAGCACCGACCTCTCTTACACTTGTTTTTCTTCTCCATGAGCCAATCTTATGTCATCCCCTGCACACTTTTGCCTCCCAGGTGTAGCCTTGCCTGCTTCCATCTTGGAGGGCTATGCTTGCCTCTGGACTCAAGCACACATACTGCTCAACAAGCCACGTGCAGTGCATGGGATGGGCTTGTGTCGCACAGGAGCCATACAATGGGATGGTGCCTTGCCAGGCAGGGAAGCCTGGGCTGCAGTCATCCAGAAGAACTGTACCTCTGTCTAACATGCAAGAAGATTCTGGATTGGATAAAGGGGTCCTGTCAGTCTGGTTGGAATTTAAATTGGGCTGGGAGAGGGGCAAGTGGTCCTGTGGTGGGAAGTCTTCATCACCATTGTCTGAAGGTCACCCCCGCCCTCTCCCCTCTCTCTGTCTCTCTGTCTTTGTCTCTGTCTCTGTCTCTGTCTCTCTCCCTCCCTCCCTTCCTCATGGGGCTGTCAAGGGGAGTTACTAGAGGTAGGAGGTTGCAGTGAGGTCTGCAGGCCACTTTCTGAACAGGAAGCATCATTGCTATTACTGATCTCTGAGCCCTTTAGGCCTCCTCTGTGTGGGCATTTCTCTACTGTGTCTATCACCAGCTGGTCATTATGTTGGGTTAAGATCATGATTCTCAAATGAATGTTGCTATTAGCTCTATCAGGAGCAACTGTGAAAAACAAACCAAGCTACACCAGTTGAACAGCTTCTATTCTGTATCCCAGACCCATGGATCGGTGTGTCTAGGGAAGGCCTGGGATCATGCATTTTCCATGAGAGCCTGAAGATAAGCTCATAATCAAACAAACTAGAAATGTAGGCCTAGTTCATCCCTAGTTTAAAAGTTCCTGGTATACCAGCTATGTGAGTTGTAAATGGATGGGTGACCGATGAGACATTCTCAAATGCCTTTGCCAGCTACTAATAGTGTGATGTTTGTGAAACCAATGAAGATTCTAGTACCTTCTGTCTGTCTGTACCCTCTCCTGGTCCTGAGATTCTGACTTGGTAGATTTGGAGGACTTCTACATAAAAAAAACAACAAAACAAAACAAAAAAACCAACAACATCGGGAAAAAAAACCAAGGAAACCACATAACTGATATTTCTTATGTGACTCTTTTGGAAAAATATTCTTATTATGAATCATTTCTGAGATCAAAGTCAGCTCCTAAAGGAGCCCTAGGGTGAGATGTGGGTAGATTTTGATGGTGCTGAAGGGAGACCTGTGCCATCTAGAGAAGCATTGCACAGCTCTGACAAGGACTCTTTACCTATCATCTTCTCTGGAACGAGAGCTTATAAGGTCTACCGCTTGGGGAGTATGCCAATCAACTTTGTATAGTGTGACAGATTCCTGAGCCCATCCATTTATAAAAAGAAATGGTTTTATCTGTGTTCAACACTTTGGAAAGCAGTACCCAGCTTCCTAAGATTGGCTGAAATGTCTTTACACCACTCCATCCTCTTTATTTGCAGGAAAAAATCTGAAACTGATTATGGAGCAACAAGGCCATGTGGAATGGGAAAATGCTGAATTCTACCCTGGTTGGAAAGGAGTGAAAGCCAGGTTGACGCCCAAGAAACTCTTGCAGCAATGGGGGAAGGGACTCTCCGAGGCTCAGCAGAAAGAGGCCCAGTACTTGTTCCTGGAGTTTGGTTACAACGTGTTCCTCAGTGACCAGTTGCCATATAACCGAAGCATCCCTGACACCCGCCACGCCAGGTGCTCTGGACCAGGGGTGGCTTTTCGGGACCTCAGTGTAGTCTGGTGATGAACTTTGAGAGCCATGCAAGTGAAGAGGTAGAAAGATGGGTGAGGGGAGTGAAGGACTGCGGGGAAGGGGATGAGCAGACCTCTTTGTTGCTGTCTTTAGTTTTGTTTTGTTGTTTTAGGTAAGTTCTTAGCATGCAGCCAGGGCTGGCCTCAAACTAGACATCCTCTTGCCTCAGCTTTCTGAGTGCTGCCCTGCCCCGGCCTAGCTGGGTTCTTGTTTTTATTATTTTTATAATGCATTATCAGAGAAGGTGATGGACTAATTCAAATGCTCTAGCTCCCCGGAGAGAGGGAGAGGACACAGGGCAGGACTGGTCTTCTCCCAAAGATCCAGAGCAGGGCAAGGGCTTGAGTGAGGCCCACCTCACTCAGCAGGGCTGCGGGGTAAGGGCTTGAGTGAGGCCCACCTCACTCAGCAGGGCTGCGGGGTAAGGGCTTGAGTGAGGCCCACCTCACTCAGCAGGGCTGCGGGGTAAGGGCTTGAGTGAGGCCCACCTCACTCAGCAGGGCTGCGGGGTAAGGGCTTGAGTGAGGCCCACCTCACTCAGCAGGGCTGCGGGGTAAGGGCTTGAGTGAGGCCCACCTCACTCAGCAGGGCTGCGGGGTAAGGGCTTGAGTGAGGCCCACCTCACTCAGCAGGGCTGCTTCCCGCTCTGGCTTTTGTTCTCTGCTTGGGTCCTGTTCATTGTTACTGCAGCTCCTGTGTAGAGTCTTTCCTGAGTGTGGCACTCCTCCATTGCTCTAGCTCTTTCTCCCTACACACACACACACACACACACACACACACACACACACACCATAACAAAATAGCAGCAGCAGCAGCAGCAGCAACAACAACAAAAAACCAAACACACTCAAGTTTTGTTTTGTTTTAGACACGGTCTTATGTAGCCCAGGCTGACCTCAAATTCTCTGTCGCTGAGGATGACTTTGAACTCTTCCTGATCTTCTCACTTCAGCCTTCTGTGTACTGGGATTACAGGTGTATATGAGCATTCTTGGTACAAATGAATGGTTTCTATTCTAATTAATGCATTAATGGAAATGGTCTCATTATATAGTTGAGGCTGACCTCTGGCTTTTGAAGATCCCTTTGCCATTAGCATGCTAGCATTACAGGTTAAGAGCCACTATGTCCAGCAATGGTTCTTATTATGTTCAGAGTTGTGCACAAGTCCCACAATCTTAAAACATTTTGATCATCTCATAAAGAAACCCTGTACTCGTCATGGTCCATTTCACCCTCAGCTTCTTCATCCCTATGGATTTGTCTGTTCTGGACTTTTCTTAGCATAGAATCGTGTGTGTGTGTGTGTGTGTGTGTGTGTGTGTGTGTGTGTGTGTGTGTTTCGCTTTTTAATAATGTATCCAGAGTACTATCCATGTAATAGCTAATAGTGTGAACCAATATTTCCCCTTTATATTGGCATGTGGCATTTTGCTTTTAGTCATTAGCTGATGGCTGTTCCGTTGTTTCCAGGTCTGGTCTACTGTGATTAATATTGTCCTGTTTTGCTTTTTTAATGGAGCTGCATTGGGATTTGATACAGACATGCTAATACACAACCACGAAAGTGAAGGGAGAGAGAAGTGCTCAAAAGAAAGTGAGACACACCCACAAGCAGGGTGTGGGCTTCTCAGAGAAGGGTTTTCTTGTGCAAGTTTGTATGAGAACTAACGTCTTCATTTTGTGGATGCTTGTAGTAGAGTTGCTAGGTCCATGTGTAGCTGTATGAAGCCTTTTGAAAGCCTGCCTGATTATTTCCTAAAAGGGCTGCATAATTAACTTATATTCTGTCCAGCAGTATTGAGCAACTTTTATGTTGCTTGTTTTTGTTTTCGAGGAGGGATCAGGAATTCAAGGTGTTTGAAGTCTGGACTACAGAGATTTCTGCCACCCAAATGCTGGGATCGCAGGGATGGACCACCCTGATTGGTAGAAGTCAGGTCTGGTGTTGTGGTTGAACCTAGGGCCTTGTGAATGGAAGCCAGCATGCCAGCACTGATGTGCAACCCTAGCTCCAAGAGTCTTGGTTTGTCTGCATATTCTCCAACGTGTGTGTGTGTGTGTGTGTGTGTGTGTGTGTGTGTGTGATCAGCTAGCCTGTCAATTGTGAGATGCGATCTCATTGTGTTTTATTTATTTAAAATTGTGAGGCCTGCTGATGAACATCTTTTTATGCGCTTATCCATTTGCATGTCTTCTCTTTCAGAAGTGTCTGTTTGGACACATCCTTTTTATTATTGAACTGTAACTTCCCTCCCTCCGCCTCTCCCTCACCCCCTCCCTCCCTCCTTCTCTCCTTCCCTGAGCTGGTTTCCAGGACTAAATAAAAAGCCAGCAGTGCCAGTAGCACTGACCCCCCTCAGCTTCCTGATCTGTGGCATGCGGGAGCCCCAGCCACTTGTCCCTGCTGTCATGCCTTCTCTGCCATGATGGATTGTACCCTCTTGAACCTTTTCCCCTCAAGTTGACTCTTGCTTTGTCACATCAGTGAGCAAAGTTCTTAAGGCAAAGACTCCACAAATGTGGCTGCTTAAAAAGAAATTGACAACCACTTTCATTAAGTGTGGATTGAGGTTTCCTTCCAGAGTGGCAGAATGCTGCAACGTCTCTCCCCTCTAACAAAACAAGCGTCTGACTGGAGAAAACGATACTCCAGGCAGCATTTCCAGAAATCATCTCGAGGATACACAGCAAGGGGAGAATCATCCTGGCAAGAACATCTTCTGAGTCTCAACAAGGCTCAGTGGGAGGCTATGGCACAGGAGCCAATGTTTGCTCCCGCTGCCCCACCCCCAGTTATGGTGAATGATAGTCTATGCCAAGTGCTCTACCCTGGGTAGGAGTGGTCAAGCGGGCTCTTGCTACTGCGTTTCCCATAGGACTGTGGTTTCATCCCCGGGAAGGCCAAGCCACCGAAAGACAGCACTTCACACCGTCCCCATTCCCATCCACGTCACTGAGATGCTATGGAGGTAGCTGAAGCAACCCTGACTCCCAGCCTCCTCAGCTCCCCCTCATCCGCTATCTACAGACACCCTGCGCTTCACGCCTGCTCTGAAGGTAGAGTCTTAGCTCCAACGCACCAGATCAAGAATGCTGGGTTCCAGCTGTGCCTTCCCAACTTGCTTACACAGAGGAAGTTCTGTACTGGAATACTGAAGTCGGGAAGCCCAAGGGTTGCTGCCCCTTCCTACCACCTTCCTGTCCTTTGTGTCTGCCTGCAGAACAGCGTGCCACTCTGGCTCCAGGTAAGGGAGCTGCTCTCTGCACCCTCAGACCCCGAGGACCCATGCTCTGTGCAGCATGGAATTCCGGATGAAAACCTTCCCTGCTCTTTTTAATGAACTGGCCTCATTTGGAAGAGTTTTTAAGTCTGGGTCTCACTATGTAGCTCTGGCTGTCCTGGAACTCACAGAGATCCATTTGTTTTTGCTTCTCTAGTGCTGAGATTAAAGGTGTGCATCACCATGCCTGCCTAGCCATGCATTCTTGGTGGAGAATATTTAGAAGCTCATAGCTGCTATAGGTAGTAACCTTCATGAGGGTGGAACATTCAGAAATCTAGCAGAAACTGGGAAGATACAGCCAAGAAGAGCCCCCTGGGATCATACTCTTGCCTGAGTAGATTAGCCATGCCTGTGTGTGGGCTGGACCCACCCGGCAACAGTCAGATGAGCATTCGAGAAAGGCTGATCATCATTCCTCAACCTACATGCAGATCCATCAAAGGGCAGCTGAAGCCTCCTGTCACTCAGGCCATTATCCCATCTTCTGAATAGTGTGAAACACTAAGCCACTGTGATCCAGGTCAGCTTCTAGGATGCCAGGCTTAAAAAGACAAGTCAAATGCTATAATTTCTTCAGATTGTACTTTTAAAATCTTTACACTCACCCCTTCAACCTCCACATTCCCAATTTACTTTGGAGACTCTAATTGAAGTCACATGTCACTTAATGATAGGCTGAGTTCAGGGGAATGTAATATTAAGTCATTTTTTGTCATAGTACAAGCATTATAGAGTGTGTTTACACAAATCAAGATAGCTGAGGCATCATTGGGCAACAATATAGGAGCCATGTTTGTATATGTGGTCTTTCATAGACTGAAACACTTTCATGTGACATATCATTTATATAAGAGAAATGAAAGCATGCTGGTAAAGGTGCTTGTTCAAGGGCTGGAGAGATGGCTCAACAGTTAAGAGCACTGACTGCACTTGCAAAAAAAGTACTCAGGTTCTGTTTTCAATACCTACATGGAGGCTGGAAACCATCTGTAACTCCATTTCCAGATAATCTGATGCCCTCTTCTGGCCTCCACAAGCACTGCATACATATGGTGCACATACACACATGTAGGCAAACAACTATACACATACAATAAAAATAAATAATTAAAAAAGAAACTTGCTTAAGAATGTTCCTCTACATACCTATGGACTCCTAGTTTTTGACAAAGAAGCTAAAAATATAAAATGGAAAAAAGAAAGCATCTTCAACAAATGGTGCTGACATAAATGGATAGTGGCATGTAGAAGAATGCAAATAGATTCATATTTATCCCCATGCACAAAACTCAAGTCCAAATGGACCAAAGACTTCAATATAAATCCATCCATACTAAACCTCATAGAAAAAAAGTGGGAAGTAGCCTTGAATGCATGGGCACAGGAGATCACTTCTTAAATATAACACCAGTAGCACAGATACAGAGGACAACAATTAATAAATGGGTCCTCCTGAAACTGAGAAGCTTCTGTAAAGCAAAGGACACAGTCAATAATACGACATGGCTACCTACAGAATGGGAAAAGAACTTCACCAATCCCACATCTGACAGAGGGCTAATCTCCAAAATATACAAAGAACTCAAGAAACTAGATATCAAACTACCAAATAATCCAATTAAAAAATAGGGTACAGATCTAAATAGAGAATTCTCAACAGAACCATCTTAAAAGGAAATGCTCAACATCTTTAGTCATCAGGGAAATGCAAATCAAAGCAACTCTGAGATACTGTCTTACATTAATCAGAATGGCTAATATCAAAAACATCAATGGCAGTTTATTCTGGAGATGATGTGGACAAAGGGGACTACTCCTCCATTGCTGGTGGGAGTGCAAACTTGTACAACCGCTGTGGAAATCAGAATGGTGATTTCTCAGAAAATTAAGAATCAATCTACCTCAAGACCTTGCAAAACTACTTTGGGCATATACACAAAGGAGGTTCATTCATACCATAAGGACATGTGTTCAACTATGTTCATAGCAACATTATTTGCAATAACCAGATCTTGGAAACAACATAGATGCCCCTCAACAGAAGAATAGATAGAGAAAATGTGATGTATTTACACAATGGAGTATTACTCAGTGGTAAGAAACAATAACATCCTAAAATTTGCAGGCAAATGGACAGAACTAGAAAACAAACAAACAAACAAACAAACAAACAAAAAAACGAAAAACGCATCCTGAGTGAGGAACCCAAACCCAGAAAGACAAATATGTACTCACTCATTAAGTGGATATCAGACATAAAACAAAAGATACCCAGCCTATAATCCACAACCCCAGAGAAGTAGAGAACCCTCTTCCAGAAACAGATGGAAGCAGATGCAGAAATCTACAACTAACCATTAGGCTAAGCTCCTGGAGTACAATGGAAATGAGGGAGGAGTGCTAGTATGAACAAAGGAGTCAAGACTACGATGGGGAAACCCACAGAAACAGCTGACCCAAGCTAGTGAGATATCACTGACTCAGGTCTGACAACTGGGGAACCTGCATAAGACCAAACTAGACTTCCTGAATACAGGTGACAACGGTGTGGCTGGGGCAACACATGAGGTCACTGGCAGTGGGTCCAAGATTTAACTCTAATGCATAAACTGACTTTGTGGAGCCCATTCTATATGGAGAGGTATCTTTCTCAGCCTAGGCAGGGGAGTAGGGGGCTTTGTCCTGCCACAGAGATGATGGGACAAACTTAGTAGACTTCCTAGGGGAGACCTTACCTCTCCAAGGAGCAGATGGGAGATGGGGGGGGGGAGCATGAGGAGAGGAGGGAGGGAGAACTGGGATTGAAATGTAAAAATACATTAATAAATAAAATGAAATCTAAAAAACAAGAATGTTCCTCTAATTATTGTCCTCATTGCCCCAAAGCAAAAACACCCTAAATATCTTTGATATCCATCTGCTGCTGGCAAATGGATAAGCACTATATACTAGCTCTCTTCAATGCAATATTAATTAACCACAAAAGGAAAGCTATTGGTGCCCGCTGCAACACTGATTGTGCTCAGAAGAATATATAACTTGTTTTCATTTACATAAAAGCTCCAGGGCAGGTAAGTCTATAAAAATGGAAATTCAATTAGTGTATGTGTGTGGCTAAGGGGACATGGACAGATGGGTTGGGGAAAAATAGCAAATGACTGGTAATGTTTTAGGCGTTCTTTATACATGATGAAAAATTTCTAAAATTAGAGGCTAGGGAGTTGGTGTGATGAGTAAAGTGCTTGCTGCCCGAATATGGGGACCTGAGTTCAGAGCCCCAGCAGATCTGTCGCCCGGCGCTGACCGCAGGTGGATGCAGATGGCGTTTCCATGGCCATCCCACTTAGCCTAATTGAGAAGATTCATGTGTAGTGAGAATTCCTGTATCAATAAAATAAGGCTGAAAGCGATTGAGGAAGGCACTTGACACTGACCTCTGACCTCCACATAATACCCCCCCTACTAAATTAGTGCTAACCATTACTCCACTCTATGACTGACAAAGTTAGGGGGTATCACATGCTTTTAAATAGGTGAATTCTATCGCATGTGAATTATTTATCGATAATCACGTTTTTAAATGAGGGCTTGGTCAATAGATATAAAGTTACACAAGTTACTAAATTCTAGGCATCTGCTATACAACATGTCTATAGATGAATAAAAAGGAGTGGGTTGCCTCTGTGTAAGCAGAAAAAATTTGGACAAATAGATTAAAAAAAAAAACCACAACCTTTTGCTTCTTGGACAAAGACCCGATTTGGTTAATAGGATACCATATATACTGAAGAGGAAGACTGGATAGCAGTGTTTAAAAATTTAAGAATAATATGTTACAAAGAATGGTGTCTTACAGGTGTCTTCAGAAGACATATCCTGCCCAACTGCCATCCCTCAGCGTCATCCTCATCTTCATGAATGAAGCTCTATCCATCATCCAAAGGGCTATCACCAGCATCATCAACCGGACTCCTCCTCAGCTGTTGAAGGAGATCATCCTCGTGGATGATTTTAGCTCGCACGGTGAGGCTCCTGAGGGAAGTAAGCAAGCATTATTACCACTGATCATCTGAGTTTGGCTTGAAGGAGGTTGTCACTTAGGAGTTTAGGACACGGTGAGTATCTTCCAGAGGGGAAAGTAAAGGATAATTTAGGGAGGGTCTATTTGTGCTGGACACATTAAATTTCATGATGTCAGGAGTGCAGTTCACCATCTCAAATGCACAAGTAAGACACAAAGACACAGGAAAAACACAGGGTGTCCAAATTGTGTGGCAGGTCAGTGTAGATTTGGGATCAGGCACAGAACCATGTGACTCAAAAATCACCTGTGCTCTGAGCATTCGCTGTGAAGCAGACCTGAGCGTTGAGATGCATGGAATCCCAAGCAGGCCTTCAGACCCCAAGAAGGGATTGAAAACCTTCCCTTATAAGGCAAGGACCAAATTTCTCAAGTAAGGAAGGCTGGAGGAGAGAAAGCTTAGGGACCTGGGATTACTCACAGTGGCAGCAAGTCTTGTCCATTGTCCTCCCAGCCCCAGGTCTAGCCTGCCTAAATAGGACACATGGGGAAGAGGCAGACTGTAGATTTGTAGACTTGATCACTTACTTCCTTTATGCAGACTGGTCTAAAGCTCACTATACAGTCTCGGGTGACCTTGGTCATTCTGTTTTTACCTCCCAAGTGCTGGGATGACAGACGTGTACCACAAAGTCCATTTCACACAATACTGAGGATGGAATTTGTGGTTTCCTGCATGCTAGGCAAACCATGAAGGTGTAGCTTGGGTTGCCTTCTGCCCTGTCCTTTCTCTCCAACTTTGTTACTAGGGTGCACCACCATGGTGGGTATGAGTCTTTGTCTTCTAAATTCATAACCCCAGCTCCCTCCCCTAAAAGATAGATCCCTAAGAACTGTAACATCTTCATGACTTGCTTCCTTTGTGTGCAAAATGTGGTTTTTTGATTATCGTAACCATCTTAAGAAAGACAGCTAACATAATTTTGTTTTCTTAGTTCTACCAATTTTGGGCATTAAATAAAAAGAAAATAGGATTAAATTATAGACCCAGAGATTCAGACTGATGATAAGGAAGGATTTTCAAACTGTGTGAACTTAAGAAGTGGTGGGTCTTTGTTCCCTCACTGGACATCTTTAAGGGTGAGAGTTTTGAGAAGGGTTATTGAGTCTGAAGGTCACTGCAAAGAGAGAAAGAAGTGGGTGGGGTTGAAAAACTCCTCCACTGAAAAACACTTCTCTTCATTTACACTCATCTCCATTCTACTTGTATAATTCAGTGAGAATGGACAAGATAAAACTGATAGAGCAAACTATTACTGGAAATCATGACTGAGAACTGGTTTCATTCATTTCTGGTCATACAGATGGGTACCAGCTTGTAGCCTGGTTCTGCTGATAAGGAAAAGGAGATCTAGATATGTATCCCGGGCAGCTGAAGGCCCAGGACCCACTTGGGGCTGTCTGAGGTGACCTTAGACAAGACCTCTCACTTCTCCTCCATAGAACTCATGCAAGGGTTGAGATGGAAGACCTCAAAAGATCCACCTATGTCCCAGGAACACAAGAGTTCTTTAACCCCATGCTTCATGGTGGGAAGACTTCATTCAAGATTCTCTGTAGTGGGACAGTAGCATTGAGTGTACAAACAAAATCATTTGTGAGGGCAGATTCAGGACAAAAAAGCCAGATAAAACTTCTTATTATCCTAACGGCCACCATCATGTGACACATAGTTCTCTTTTGGGCCTGGAATCAAATTACATTTTTGTTAACTTATCTTATTTATCATTATTGTGTGAGTGGATGTCACTATAATACGGCTTGAGGGGGACCTTGGTGGATCCCATGGTGCGTGAAGGACAAACAAGCCATGCAGAGCAAGCTTGTATGGGAAGTTTTACTGGGGGGAGGGAAGGGAAGGGACAGAGGGGAGAGAGGGAGTGGGGAAGAGAAGAGAAAGAAAGAGACCTGCCTGCCTCTTCTGAGGAACAGGAAGAGAGAGAAGGAGTGGGTGGAGCTTGTTTCTTAAAGGGACCTTTTGTGCCTGTATACAGGGCCAGGGTACTGCTTGCCATGTGCCCCAAGGGGTGAGGCCAAGGGGTGCCTGGATGCTAACAGATGTGGGCATGCACATGCCGTGTGCACATATGGAGGGAATGTTACAAAATGGGACCAGGGCCATAAAGATGACTCAGAGGGCAAGGTTACTTTCAAATTGGGTGACCTGAATTAATTCCCCAGGAACCACACAATAGGAGGGATGAACTGGTTCCTGTGAGCTGTTCCCTATCTTCCACATGTGTGATATGTGTGTGTAACCCCACTAAAAAATAAATAGGCAGATAGATAGATAGACAGACAGATTGACAGACAGATGACAGATAAAAACTAAAACCAGGCAAATTTTAGTGCCATAGTGTTGATTTTTAGGAGCTGTCTACCTGAGGTTTCACATGTGTATTCATCTCTTGAGAGGGGAACCGATTAGAATCCTATCCCTTACATGTAAGAGGAAAGGAGATGGTGGTGATGGTGGTAGTGGCAGCGGTGGTGGTGGTGGTGAGCTTAATAAAGTCAAGCAGATGTGCATATGCTCTTTGAGCCAGTGTGTGGTTTAAAAAGAAAATGAAGAAGAAGAAGGAAAAGGAGGAGAAGGAGGAGGAGAAGGAGAAGAGGAGGAGGAGGAGGAGGAGGAAGAGGAAGAGGAAGAAGAAGGAGAAGAAGAAGAAGAAGAAGAAGAAGAAGAAGAAGAAGAAGAAGAAGAAGAAGAAGAAGAAGAAGAAGAAGAAGAAGAAGAAGAAGAAGAGATAGTCCAGTTGTGCCACTAAATGGATGTGTGATTTGGAAAGTTCTTGCTCTTCCCATGTCTCAGTTTCCCTTCATCTGTGAAGTGGAGATGCTCTAGTGCTATCATTCATAGGGTTCTATAAATGATTAAGTGAATTAATATTATCAGTGATGTCCGCAATACTAGCCCTTGCCAGGCTAAGGCAGGAGGATTACTTTGAGTTTGAGGCTAGTCTAGATTACAGAGTAAGACTCTGTCTCAAAAACAAACTAAGCCAAAAAACATATGTCATCAGTGGATAACTGGGTCATTTGCTTGTCTTTTTTGCATAGTACTTAGTGATTTGTATGAAAGTTGAAGCTGCTTTCAAATATGCAAAGAAGGCAACTGGTACCCTGCATTAACAAAGGCAGAGGCAGGCTTTACAAAAAGAGAGGGGAGGGGAAAGAAAAATCCCTTGTAAACAGTCTGGGAAGAGAGAGTCTTGCTTGCATAATATTGAAAATAAACTCTTCAGCTAGATGCTGGCATAGAAGATCCAAGTGAGCATTTGTACCCATTGTGATGTAATCAGAACAGTCAGGGATATCTAAAACAAAGCAAAGCTGCTATTTGGGTTCTCTAGGAAGCCTTGCAGATTAAACTGTGGTTTTCTCCAGGCTCATCCACCACTGTTACAACCTTAAGTTATCAAGCCAGGCCTGCTCTGTTTCTTTACCTAGGAGTTTCCCAGTATATAAGATGTATGCTTGACCACATCTTCCTAGCAGGGAGATTCAAGGATGTGGAAAGGAAACGAGGAATGATTCTAAATATCTGGGGGAAGGCGCTGGGCGAATGGTATCTACATCCTCAGTAAAGGCTCTGGAGTTTCTGGCCTTACAGTGGCATCACCCATACATTATTACAGGACAGTGAAAATTTCTGTATCACATCCATTGTTGCACTCAGTGTCTCCGTGGTTGTGTGTCTGGTTGGTAGGAGAACTGAAGGCACGGCTGAACAAGACAATCAAGCTTTACAACCAGAACTATCCAGCCCTACTGAAACTTATAAGGCACACAGAGAGAAAAGGTCTCGCTCAAGCCCGCAACACCGGCCTGGGAGCTGCTACAGCGGATGTGGTTGCCATCTTGGATGCTCACATTGAAGTGAACGTTGGATGGTAAGGTTCTGGAAGGCTGCTGCTCTCAGGAAAAGACAGGACTAAACTATTATATGCGGCAAGTCAGGATGGTGCTGAGATGGGGAATACTGACACCATGTCCTTGAACAGAGGGAGGTTGTACAGCTTTCATTCAAGGAGTCTTGTTGGATACGAGAAACAGTATAAGCCTGGTGTGGTGACACATGTCCATAATCTTGTGATTGGGATATAGAGGCAGGAGGGTCACAGAGTCAAGGTTAGTTTGGGCATACTGCATGCATTACGGGACAGTGTAAAATTTCTGCATCCCATTTATTTCTGTACTTAGTATTTCTATGGTTGTGTGCCTGGTTGGTAAGACACAACTGGATGAGACCATTAAGAAAGGTGGGTGGGTGTTGCCTTCCCATCGGCTCAGTGACTATACCTGAATCTACTTATATTTTAATTACTGTCTTGAGCCCTACAGTCAACGCCCTGCTATTCAGTTTGCCACACTGGCACTAGTTTCTCTGCTGCTGGCACTGGCCCCTCTGTTGCCACCAAATGTAGTTTTTAAGTAAGTCTACATCATTCTATTTACCAATAAAGACTCTTGAGTCAGATGTCATGGTGAAAACCTGCTTGTAATGTGAATTAATAAATGATCCAGAGACTGACATTGGGGTTCAGGCTTCAAGATGAATATCAGAAAAGCAAAGCAGCTGCCACTAGCTTCTTACCTCTACCTCAAGCTGAATGGGCTGATCCTGTCTCAACGAGCTCTCACAGAGCCTCAGACTGTAACCTTTCCTCAGTGTGATTGGAGAACGAATACCTCTCTGAGATCTTGCTTCTGTCTTATATATTTCCCTAATGTTGGGATTAAAGGTGTGAGCTATCATTCTCTTTTAGGCTGATTCACTCTTGTGTAGGTCTGGGTGGTCTTAGACTCACAGAGATCCATCTATCTCTTAATCCTGAGTCCTAGGATTAAAGGTGTGCACCACCACTTCTAGCTTCTGACTACTGGGATTAAAGGTGTGTGCCTGGCTTCTATGGCTTGCGGCTGATTTTGCTTTTCTGAATCCTCAGTCAAGCTTTAATAAGTCATAAACAATATATCACCACATCTGCTAGCTCAGAGAGGCTGAGAGGCAACCAACTGACCTTCCCTTCGGGCCAGAAACTCCAGCAGTCCCAAACCAAAATAGTACAAAACTTCACATCCTTCCCTGCTCCTTCCTGTGTGTCTATGTGTCTTTCTGGCTCCTCTGTACTCTCTGTGGCTAATTCCTGTCAAGCAGTTGTTGTCGCTACCCCCTGATCCAAGGTTTATTTTATTAACACAGTCTTGTGTTTCATAGTGCCATCAGGTTGCTGACTTTGTTAAATATTTTGTGACTTTGAATAGGTACTTAACTAGATACTTGAACATTTATCCTTAAAATGCAGAGTATAAACCACTGGCAATACCTCCAGTTTTCCCAGTGCTTAAATGACATGAAATAAAGATTCAACAGACAAGGTGGAGAATCACACAGAAGACAGGCACCATTTGGAAACAGGAATAATGTAAACTCAGGTAGAATACTGACAGTCCTCATTCACAATGGCCTGGATGTAGCAGCTGGACACTAATTTCAAATCATCTCTTGGCTAGCTCAGCTGCTAGGAGCCTGGGCTATCCAGAACCTAAGAAACTCTCCAGACTCCAGAGAGTCCATTTTTTTCCAACCCAACTGAAATAAGAATGCCCTCCATGTGAGAATGAGGATGAGGATGAGGCTGAGGTTTACAGGATCTCTGTCTGCTCCAGCCCACTGCTGACCCACATAGTCACAATGCTGCATATTCTCCTTTAGGGCTGAGCCCATTTTGTCTCGGATTCAGGAAGACCACACTGTGGTTGTGTCTCCTGTGTTTGACAAGATTGACTTCAATACATTCAAGCTGGAAAAGTATGAACTGGCAACAGTTGGGTTTGACTGGAAGCTGTGGTGCCAGTATGATCCTGTACCACAAGCCTGGATTGATGCGGGTGATGTCACTGCCCCAGTGAAGTAAGTATGAGTAAGCCGCCGAGAGAACTTAGTCAGAATGAACTGAGCAGGACTTGTCTGTCTTTGATGATTGTAATGGAGACAAGGTGGAGGAGCAGATAAGGGATAAGGAAAACAAATAGCAGTGATCGCAATAACAAACCCAAGGCCTGACTCCAGATTAGAAATCATAGACATTTGGTATTATCTAGGTTTTCACATAAAAATCAAAGGTATTTTGCATTTTAGAAAGTACTTGAGGCAACTTCTAGCATTACCAGACTATGGAGAAAGATGACATTCCAGTACCATTTGTGAAGGGCGGTAACAGCACAGGGAGCACACCTTCAGTCTACTCTGAATGTTTCAGAAAGCCTCCAGGATAAGAAGAGACAGGTAGAATTCTGAAGACCATTGTGGGGTTCCCTAGCCCTCCCCTCCATGTTGATCAGTTTCTTGGAGGGGCATGAATAACCCTCTTGCCATGTACTCTGCAGGAGTCCGTCCATCATGGGCATCCTGGCCGCCAACAGGATCTTCTTGACAAAGATTGGGGCTCTGGATGGTGGGATGCTGGTCTACGGAGGAGAGAATGTGGAACTTAGCCTGAGGGTATGTTCTTGCTCTCTTCTCTATGGGACAAAGTAGAGGAGGGCATATTGGAAAGTCATAGGAATTCTGGAAAACTAGGACTCAGCTGAGTGCATTGCTCAAGAGATGGACAAATTGTCACATCTCCTGTTCCCTAGGCAACAGGACTCTGGAGAGGAACTTTCTGGCACAGGCCTATATTATATGACCTGAGAATTTTGGTGGTCAGTGGTAGAATTTTGGTGGTCAGTGAGGCTGTGAAGAGATTCCTTTTTCTCCAGAGGATCGTGGGTGTTTTTAATTACTGGGGTACACCGTCTCTGAGGAAGACAAGTCCAAAGACTTGCTGGACAAGCACCCTCCCCCTCCACTGAGGTATAATCCAAGCTCCTTTCTTTGAGACCCAGTTTTTCCCAGTTGTGTGGGCTGGCTTTGCATCCTTCTGCCTTAGCTTCCCAAGCCTGACGCTCAAGTGGGAACGTTAAGGCTGAATACTGCTTTTCAAAAATAATATGGCTTTTTTTGTTGTTTGTTTGATTTTGTTTTTCAAGACAGGGTTTCTCTGTATAGCCCTGGCTGTTGTGGAATAATCTTTTTGTATACTGTCAAGATGTATCACTGTTTTTGGTTTAATAGAAAAGCTAAACAGCTAAAACCTAGGCAGGGTTTTGAGGCAGACAGGATACTGGGAAAAAAGGCAGAGATGCCAGTTGGAGAGGAAGTAGCATGAGCAGCACAGAGTAAAGCTAATAAAGCCATGCAGCAGAAAGTAAATTAATAGAAATAGATTAGGTTCTAAGAACTAGTTAGGAGTAGGCCTAAACTGTTGGCCAAGCTTTTATAATTAATAATATGTCTCCCTGTCATCATTAAGGGGCTGATGGTCCCAACAACAAAAAAAAATCCAACTACAGATGGCACCCAATATCCAGCACATACATCCACATAAAGCCTGAGAAAACTTTTAAAAAAAAGTTTGGAAACGGAATCAAATGCAGTTATCTTTATTTATCAGCATTCAAAAAATTCAAAATAAACACAACAAGCTCTATGTGGCTTATTAGCTTTACTCTGTGCTGCCCATGCTACTTCCTCAAAGTACAAGAATAAACTTAAACTGACCACATTTCTGACATAGTTATAGTCTCATCAATTGGTAGATACCTTAACTGCCTCCACATCTGGCTGTTGTAAGTAGAGCTACAGTGGGAGCATGGGACTCTCTCTGATAGGTGTGTTTTCATTTCCCTTTGGATTTATACCCAGTGGTGGGAATGCTGGCTCATATGATAGTTCCATGTTTAATTTTTTGAAGGCTGTCTCAGGGTTTTCATTGCTGTGAAGAGACACCATGACCACAACAAAACTTATAAAGAAAACGTTTATTTGGAATGACTTGCTTATTATTTCAGAGGTTCATGGCAGGGAAGCATGGTGGTGTGCCAGCAGATGTGGTGCTGAAGGAATAACTGAGAGTCCTATATCTTTCAGGCATCAGGAAGTCGGTTGACTGTCACACTGAGGGAAGCTTGAGCAAAAGAGACCTCAAAGCCCGCCCCCACAGTGACACACTTGCTCCAACAAGGCCACTCCTCCTAATAGTGCCACTCCCTTTGGGGGGCATTTTCTTTCAAACCGCCATATTTTCCTCCCTGGCCCCCAAAGTCTTATAGCCATATCGTAATGCAAAAATGTATTCAGTCCATATTTAAAAGTCCCCATAGTCTGTAACAGTCTCAAACTTGTTTCAAAGTCCAGAGTCCAAAATCTCTTCTGAGAGATATGGAAATCTCTTAATTGTAATCCCTCTATAAAAATGAAAAGCAGATCTCATACTTCCAACATATAATGGTACAGGACATTCATTACCATTCCAAAATGCAGGGAAGGGAACATAGCAAGGAAATATGGGACAAAAGCACCAAAAACAAGCTGGAGAAACTCCAAATTCTGCAGCTCCATGTCTGATGTCAAAATTCTCTTCTGATCTTCAGCTCTGTTCCAGCTCTGTTGACTGTAATGCATTTCTTTCTCTTGGGCTGGTTCACTCCCTGTTAGCAGCTCTCCTTGGCAGGTATCCCATGACTCTGGCATCCTTAACATCTTGGGGTCTCCAAGGCAACCCAGGCTTCAACTTCACAGCTTCTCTAGGCTTCCATTCAGGGACACCACTGACACATGCCAGACCTCAGTGGCTTTATACCATAACTCCTTTCTTCTGTCCTCTGGGGTAGCTGGAACAACAGACCTGGGCCAGGAAGTCCTGGAAAGGTCTTTTCCTGTGTCTTCCCCCATTTTGTCCCCCCAGTCACTCTCCTTTCTTCTCTTTTCATGTATTTCCCCTCTAGACAGGGTCTCATTATGTGTCCTTGGCTGGTTTGCAACTTGCGATGTAGACCGGAGTGTTCTTGGACATACAAGAACCCTCTGCTTCCATTTGCTGAGGACTGAGGTTGCAAGAGTGCATTATCACACCTAGCAAGATGTATTTGTAAACTCAGAGCATCTGGGACCAGGGGTCTATGAAAGGCTGAAAATCAATGGGCAGTCAGCATTGGGCTCTCACTCAGCCTGGACTGGGGAAGGGTTTGCTTTTAAGGTAACAGGATGTTGATAGCTTTCAGCTCCTTAAAGTCTTACCAACTGAGGCAACTTTCAAGTCTTACCAACTGAGGCAACATTCAGGTTTTATTTGCTAACTGGCACTTGGAAGCCACTCTTAGTTTCTGGTCATGTGTCCCTCCCTATTTGGTAGCGTATTCCACAGTGACTTGCTTCTTCAAAGCCAGTAAAAGAAAGCCAGTGGTTTCTTCTTATCACTTAAGCACACACATATTCACAGCACCCTGCTGTCTCTGCCATGGTTTGTTGGGTGGAAGGTGGCAGGCTCATACTCAAGGGAAAGGATTGGGAGAGGATGATGACCCCAGGAGGAGGGACCAAGGAGGCTACTAGAATCTGCCCACCCTACAGGTGTGTGTCTGGCATGCTAGTAGAAGAGGATTATGGGAAGCTGACTGGTGAATGGCTCAGGGCATGGAGCCTCTGGCTTCTTGGGCTCCCTCATTCTGAGTAGCAGGCAAGTCCCTTCTTTGAGCCTCTTTGAGGAGACTTCTGGAAGGAGGTTGGATGGACAGAGCTGTTTGACACCAGGAGAGAAGCATTTTGACATCAGGTCAACTGATGTGAGAAGTTGGGGAGGTACCTTGGAGGTGGGAGCAAGAAATCTAAAGTTTTCCAAGATGATTGTAGTGGTTCACATCCCTAATCCCAGCACTCAAGGAGCTAAGGCAGGAAGATTGCAACGAGACCAGCGTGGGCTACAGAGTGAGCTACAGGCCAACTTGGGCTACAGGGTGAGACCCAGCCTCAAAAGGGGAGGGTCTCACTGGGTGGTGGTGGTGGCACAGGCCTTTAATCCCAGCGCTAGGGAGGCAGGGGCAGGCAGATCTCTGTGAGTTCAAGGCCTGGTCTACAAAGCAAGTTCCAGGACAGCCAGGGCTGTTACACAGAGAAATGCTGTCTTGAAAGGGAAGGGAGGGGGGCATTTCAAATGGGATCCCTTTTCCAGTTCATTGGTTGTAGGACCTTGGTATTGAAGGAAGGTGGCGCTGTCCCTGTCCTGCAGGTGTGGCAGTGTGGAGGGAAGATTGAGATCTTACCCTGCTCTCGGGTAGCTCACCTGGAGAGATACCACAAACCCTATGCCATGGACCTAAGGATTCCTTTGCGGCGGAACGCTCTGAGAGTGGCTGAAAGCTGGATGGACGAACACAAATACATGGTCTACTTGGCCTGGAACATGCCTATCAAGGTTGGTCATGGATGGAGCAGAAGGAAAAAATGCAGGAAGAGGAAGTACCTGTAGTGTGTGTGTGGGAGGGGGGGTGAGAGGCTATGGGACAAACGCAACACCCTAGACTTGATGGATTAAGGTTGGTCCCCAGTGTGGCAACAGTTCACAGTTGTATAGAAGTATAACACTGTGTTCAGATACTGTTTGATGTATTTATTTTTCTCCTTTGACTTTTTTTTTAAAGATGGGGTTTTCACAGTATCTCAGGCTGGCTTAGAGCTTGTGGCAATCCTGCCTCAGGTTCCTCAGCGTGGGGAATATAGACCCGAGCCAGCATTCCAGCTCATGTATGAGCTCTTTATCCATCAGAGTGCACACACACACATGGTGTTTTATGGATGAGGAAGTCCAGGCACAAAACGAGCTGGAAAGTAATTGTTGAAGATAACAATGGTCGAGACAGTGGGGAGCAGAGACAAAACTCAAACACATCTGCCTTCCAGATTCCATGTCCTTTATTTGACAGTGAGAAGGGTGGAACACGGGGCCTTCCCCCTTCATCTTCCTCTGAAACAGGGGCTCATGTAGCCCTGGCTGGCTGTGAACTTGCTCCATATCTGAGGGTGACCCTGGGTTTCTGACCCTACCTCCACTTCTTAAGGGCTAAGATTATGAGCATGCGCTACCACACTTGGTTTCATGCAGTGCTGGGGATCGAACTCAGGGCTTCATGCATGTGAGGCAAGCATTCTACCAACAGAGCAACACACCCAGTGCTCTCAGAAGGGGCACGGATAGGACAGGTGGCATGGATGTACGAGAGGAGGCTCTGTCGTGTTGCTGGACTCACACGGATGGGGGTGCTCTGAGCTGAGCCCACTCTCCCCAATCTGCTTGAGGTCACTGTGCTGTATCTTCTCCTGGACCTCTGGACCCTGTTTGTTGAGACATGCCTGGCTCCCAGAGACCAGTCACCTCATTGGCAAACTCCTCTTCCATCACAGGGCATGTTTGGGGAGTCTCCAGACAGCTGGGGTCTCTGGGCAGTGAGAGAGGCTGTGGAATTAGCCAAGAAGGAAAAGCCTAGAGACCAGGAACAGGGTGTGACTCAGGAACCACTAGATGAGGAGAAGATAAAATGTGCAGAAATTTCTGAACCTCAGTCAGAGTTCAAAGTCATGAAAGTGGTTACTAAGGTATCGGTAGGCTCTGCAGTTAGTTTTTTTTTTGTTGTTGGGAGAGGAAGTTATCTGGTGTTCAGGGTAGAAGGCTTGGTAGGCAAATGAGCATCCCCTCCCCCACCCATCACCTTGGCTTCCTATCTCTTCAGTGTTGTATTCCGATTGTGCCATGCTGTAAAGGAAGTTCCCTAAGCCAATGAACTGAGCATCATCAGAAACAGACCTCCCAAGAATTCTGGGAAGATGATAGATGCACAGTTTCTGCATTCCTTCTCTAAGTGCCTCCTTAAGTATTCCTTCACAGGGGTTCCTCACAAACACCACTTCTACAAAGTTCCCTTCGCAGTCAGACTCTTGCTACCGGAAGATTTGTTTAAGCATTTTCCAGCCATTGTATTTTATGTCTTTTTGATGCCACTGGCATCTCAAAACAGAAGAAATCAGTCATGAGAAATCAGATTGAGTGGCCCCCACACAGGCTCTCTGAGGACAAGAAGCCAGCCCAGGCTCCTAGACTCCAGGTTTCTGCTTTCCAAGGTTATCTATAGGTTCCAACTAGACAGCCAGTGCCCACACATTCCACAGTAACAGATAGAGACAAGGGTTTTAAAGTCTAATGAACACATACCATCCGTGTTTTCTCTTCAGAACTCTGGAATCGACTATGGAGACATTTCTTCCCGAAAGGCACTCCGGGAGAAACTGAAATGCAAAACCTTTGACTGGTACCTGAAAACTATCTACCCACTTCTGAAGCCAATCCCCAACATTGTCTGCTATGGAAGAGTATGTGTTGTGTTTGAACTGTTTCATTTTAAAAAGACAAGGCCCGAAAAACAAAGCAGTCAAGGGGTTGCCCCAAACCCATCCTGTCCAAACCCCCTCCAACTGCTACTCTTATTTCTTGGTCCTGAGGAGCCTCCTTTCTTCTCAACATCATGTTCTTTTTCTCCTCCACCTCTGTCCCTTTGCAAACTGCATCCCTTGCTTGACCCCCTTAGCTCCTCAGCCCATGGTTGACATCACTCCTCTAAATTGGGCTGGATCAGATCGCCCTCTGCTGGTAATGTTTTCTGTCATCCCATGGTATAACCAAAACCAAAACCAAAAAATACAGGACCTGAGGTATCTTCTTTCTGAAATTCTTTCCAACAGTGTGGTTGTATTTTCTTCTTTAGATAAAAAATTCATTGGATGAAAGTGTTTGCCTGGACAGAGGACCTGTTCCAGGCAACTCTCCCAAAGTGAAACCTTGCAGTGAGTTCAGCGCACAGGTATCTCTTACTGGCATCCCTGCTAAGGTAGAGGGTCTGTACTGGCTCAGAGAATCTATGCCACAGGTTAGAGTTTCTTTACTGTTAGAGGATGGGGGAGGCAGGGATGAGCATTTTGACAATGTGTAAGCATGTACTGCTCATTCAAACAGGGGTAAGGAGAACAGGCAGGAAGGTTCCGCGGATGACATTCATTTTCCAGGTGACAGTTTGAGTGGCAGTCTTCCCAACACTTCTTTTTTTCTTAAACTCGTGGCTCTGCTATTCATTCTTCTGGTGTATGCCTTGGAAAGTGGACAAGCAAGTCTTGTCTAATTATGCTCCTGTGGGAGGAAGCAGGCTAGAGAAGAGAGGGAGAAGGAAGATCCCTGTGCAGGTTAGAATAGATATGACAACAAGTGGAGAGTGTCCTTAGGAACCTTGTCATTGAGAATACGGACATATAGTATCTTACTTTACTTTTTAAAAATGGGTTTAAAGAAGCATTTTGTGTGTATGAGTGTTTTGCCTACATACAGTGTCTGGTGCCCAGTGCCCACAGGGGTCAGGAGAGTGCATAGGATCCCTGGTAACTGGAGTTACAGATGGTTATGGACCACCATGTGGATGCTGGGAACTGAACTGAGGTTGTTTACAAGAATATGCTGTACTCCTAACTGTTGAGCCATATCTCCAGCTTTTCCACCCCCAAAGCTTGGTTTGCCTGCTTCCATCTACCTCATTCCGAGGGCTGGGTCTACAGATGCTTGCCAGATCTCACACCCAGAGCTTCCTGCATTCGAGGCAAGCACTTTACGTGATCAGCATTGCCAGCTATCATTTCCCTTTGTACATTGTCCTTGCAGAGAACTCTTAGGGGGCTACCTGGTAGAGGTAATAGCCACAGAACAGTTGGAAGGCTGAGCCACAAAGACTCATCCACGCTTAATGAAGATCTCAATCAGGTTGGGAACTTGAAGGAAGGCTGCTGCTTCCGCGTGATCAGCATCACTTGGCCTTCTATGGATGGTGTCTTAACTTCAGTTGAGGGAACTCTTCAAAGACAAGCCCCATTCATAATCCATACAAAGCCATAATTCTTTCAGAACTATGTTCACCGGTTAGCCATTGCTGTGGTAGAGTACCTGTGATCAACAACTTAGGATCAAAAGATTCATTTTGACTCAAGGTTCCAGTCTGTGGTTGCATGGCTTCAATGCTGTGGCCTCTGGCGGGGCAGAACATTATATCAAAGTTGCTAGCAGGGGTGTAAGCATAGGAAGGGTGGGGAAGGGACCAGGGATAATATGCAGTTCCTAAGGACATGTTCCCAGTAGCCAACTCCAACTAGCGCCCCCCCCCACAATATCATCAAACTAGGAATCCATCAAGGAGATGATGAATCCATTGGTTAGGTTGGCATGCCCAGGACCTAGTCAACTCTCGGTGATTGGATCCACCATCTGGTCACCAGCCATCCAACCTCTGAGCCATCACTGGAACAAGGATGGGCTGAGCGCCCCTTCTTGTTTCTGCCCTTCTTCCTAGAATGTGCTAGGGCTGGGGAGAAAGGCAGTGAGCTCCATGTCCCAGAATGTTTATGCTCTCCCCATGCCTAGGCCACCCATTCTCATGTCTTCCCCAAATTCCTGAAGTTTTTATGGCAGTGGACAGGGAGAAAACTACCACCTTGGAGCTGGTTGTGAAGTCGGGTCTCCTGAACACACAGGGTGGCTGAGAAGGGAAAATACTTAAGACTGCTGTGGCTCCAGAGGGCTTGAGCTCACATTCTGTCCTGGGTACTTTTAGAATGTTCTCAGCCCTCTCTGTAACTAGGCTTTCTAACGTACAGTTTAATGGCTGAGGCCTCCCTGCTGACTGGGTCCAGAGCGGTGTCCTTGTTCTCTTGTAGAGTATGTATTACCTCTTCTCTGGGGAATTCTACGTGGGGGAACTAATCTCAAAAGAAGACATCCATGAACAATACTGCCTGACGGACTCTGGCCATGGGGAGGACCCCACATTGGAGCTGTGTTCTCAGGCAGCCCAAAGAGGGCAGCACATCTACTGGGATTTTCGACAGGTGAGTTGCTTGGGTTTCATTGCAAGGGCAGCTATCCAAATACAGCATGAAAGGTTCAGGATTGGTTGTAATCTGTAGTGCTTTACAAAAATGATTGCTTTGTGCAAGTGTGTAGGGAGAAAACCACACACACACAGACACACACACAGACACACATAGACACACACACACCAACAAAACCCTCTAAGAATCATCTCAGGATTTGTTGTGCCACAACCTTTTTGCTGTGTGTTGTTGCCTCACAGCTGATAGTTTCTGACCCATCAGAGTGGCACTTCACAAAGGCTACATGGCAGTCGTGCTTCCTTAAGAAAACAATGCTTTGCATCAACGGAACTGACTGCGAAGCTGGGTCTCCTGAATACAGAGAAGTGGTTAAGAGAGAAAAACACTTCAGGATGCTGTGGTTCCAAAGAGTATGGGCGCAACCTGGTTTTGTCACTTTTAGAAAGTTTCCTAACCTCACTGTAGCTAGTTTTCCTTAGATGTAAAGTGGAGACAATAAATACCCACTTTATGGGACTAAGTAAGATAGCATGTGACAAGAACTTCCAGCAAACGGTAACATTTGATACCTATGAGTCAATGCCTTTAATTTTATTAGTAATAAATATTAGACTTGGGAGCACTAGGTGGAAATCTGTAAAAGTCCTTCCTTCAGTTGAGTGCACACCTATAACCCTAGCCCTCAGGGTGCAGAGGCAGGAGGATTACCAAAAGCTCAAGGCTAGCCTGGTTTATAGGGTGAGTTCTAGGTCAGCCTAGGGCTATACCCTGAGACCATGCCTCAAAGAACAAGCAAAGCTCTCCCTTTGACATCAGCATCAAATGACCAGAACAGGGTGGAGAGAATTTGCCAGATGTTCCATGACAGTAACATAAGGAACCTCACTGAACACAGTCTATGTGTAAATTCTCTCTGTGTGAAGGATGCTTCAAAGGGCTGATCGGGTCTTATGCCACTTGGGTAGGACCATGATGTCCTGTGGGAAGATGCCGACCTGCCTGTGATCATGTCTCTGAACACCTGTCTACTCCATCAGGATCAGGGACTACATCTAGAAAAACATGGACATTTTTCTTTTATGTGCACAGTCTCACTCTGTAGCCCAGGCTAGCTCAAGATCCTTCTGCCTCAGTGTCCTGAGAGATGGACACATGAACCTCCATCCAGCTAGCAAATAACGTGTAAAAACTTATTTATTTATATTGTTTATATTACTTTTATTGAAGGTACAAGTAAGTGGTTGTGAACCCCAGGAGAGGGGCTGGGGACCAAAGTCTGGGTCTCTGTGAAAAGCCATGGGAGTTCTTAACCGCTAGGCATCTCTCCAGCACTGCAAATCACATCTTAAAGCCAAAGTGGTTTATTTTTATTTGTTTATTTAGTTGTTGTTTTGTTTTTGAAAAATATTTATTTATTTTGCATCCTGACCCCAGTTTCCCTCCCTCCTCTCTTCCCAGTCGCTCCCCTCCACTACCTCCCTTCTGTCCCCTCCCCCACTACACCTTCATTTCTATTCAGAAAAAAAATCAGGCCTCCCATGGATATTGACAAAACATGGCTCATGTTGCAGTGAGACTAAGCACCTCCCCTTGTGTTAAGGCTGGGCAAGGCAACCCAGTATGAGGAGTAGGCCCCAAAAGCCAGTAAAGGTGTCAGTGACCGCCCCTGCTCCCACTTTTAGGAATCACACAAGAAGACCAAGCTATACAACTGTCATATGTATGCAGAGGGTCTAGGCCAGTCTCATGTAGGCTCCCTGGTTGTCGATCAGGTCTCTGTGAGCTTCTATAAGTCAGGTTAGTTGTTTTTGTGGGTTTTCTTGTGATGACTTTCACCCTTCTGGCTCTTTCTTCCCTCTCTTCAGCATGATTCCCCTAGTTTGGCCTAATGTTTGATTGTGGATGTCTGCATCTGTTTCCACCAGTTGCTGGATGAGGCCTTTCTGATGACTATTGAGAATAGAAGAATATTATTAGGCATCATTACATTGATACTTCTGTTTCCTCTAGCTGTGTTTGAGTCTGTGCTGGGGTAAAGGTGACCCAGAGATTGTGGGAGTGGCCAACAAATGGCTGGTCTAGCTTGAGACCCAAGCCATGAGAGTGAGCCCACCCCGACACTGCTTGGAGTACCAGGAGCCACAGGCTGGATGGCCCAGAGACCTAGGATAGAACCAAACACGACTGGCTTTGTTTTGTTTTAAAGAGTTTGCTGTTAGCTATGGAGATCCCTTCAGGGAAAAATATGTGCAAAACAAATTCAGGGATTTTGCAGTCTCCCTGAACATACAATATTGATTATTAGGAGGAGGGAGAGGAAGGGAAGGAGGTGTGGAAAAAAAGAGTGTGTGTGTGGCGAGGAGGAACTCTCTCAGCTCTAGTGACAGTGAGTGCCCAAACTCCCTGACGCCTTATGCAGGCATCATTCTCCCCACCAGGGCCAGAAAAAAAAGTGTTCTTGTGGGTCCAGGCAGTCTTTCCTTGAGGGGGCCTTCTGTGAGCCATGACAGCGGGGTGGCACTTCTGTGTTTTCTTAGGGTTCCTTTAATCCGTGTCTTGTTGTCTCTTAGAATAACGTTTACTGGAACTTTGCCTTTTGAGACAGGATCTCACTCTGTGGTTTGGGGCTTCCAAGTCTCAGTCTCCCGAGTGCTGGGATTTCAGGTGTGCACTGCCATGCCTGACCTTACCTACCTCTTTCCATTATAGAGCTGTGGCCTGTAAGGTCAGGGCCTGGTTGGGTTTTGTCTCTTGTCTGTCACTTTGTAGTGACAACATCTGGAACATGGCAGGCATTTGACAAGTGGTTGACGACCAAGTACAAGATTGTCCCACTTGGAGTATCAGCTTGGAGAGGTGAACTAAGACAGGGTTGTGCTGTCTTCCCTAAGTAGAAGAGTCTCATCAACCCTCCATCACTGTGACAAGTACCTAAGATAATCAGTTCATAAAAGGAGAGCATTTACATTGGGTCAGTCTAGTTCCTGGCCAGTTGTCCTCATGATTTGAGGCCTGCACTGAGTCAGCACATCATGTTGGGAACACGTGGTAAATCAAAATACACTCAGATCATGAACCAAGGAGCGGAAGAGAAAGAGGAAGGGCTTGGGTTCTGATGACTCCCTTTGATGTCATGTCCCAATAACTGAAGACCTCTAAGTAGTTGCTACCCCCTCCCAATAATGCCATGCTGAGGGGCAAGGTCTTAACACACATGTCCTTGAGGGGCATTCCAGATCCTAGTGATATTGAGGAGTTGCTGGGGTCTGAGATGGGGGTGGGGGTCGGGACGACGACAATGATACAGGAACAGGGAAGGACTTCCTTGTACTGTCATGGCTTCTCTAGTCAGTGGTAGTCACCAGGCCCAGCATGTGGCATGTCTAGTGTACCCTTGGGATTTTAAATCCTTAATGGACTTGTTACTTTATATACAAGCCTAACAATGCTATAGCATTAATTTTATTTGGTCTTTTTATGGTTTAATAAATTGAATGTCCTTACCCACTGAAGACTATGTTCAAAAATCACTCCCAGTATTTAAGCTTAAATTTAATGAGCCTTAATCTCCTGAGTGTTTACAAAGTACAGTCTCAACATGAAGTCACAAATTCAATTATTCGATGACACATCTTAAAATTGGTATCACACTGTTAGTAAGATGTTGGCTTTTCTTAAACATAGCATATTCTTCCTGGTAGCAAATAGATACCAAATCTTTGGGAATGTATTGGGTTACCTTAATGCCATATTTTATGGCAAAGCTCCTAGAATTAAGATACTGTTTATCCTAAAGAAATAATTATTCAAACATTTGGAAAGTTGTCTTCCCAAGAGGATTTTGGAAGATGGCTGTATTAGTGACTTTTCTCAGTATTGTGACAAAGTTGTTTGACCAATGCAACTTAAGGCAAAAGGGGTATCCTTTGGCTCGTGGTTTGAGGGGACACAGTCTGCCATGATGAAGAAGGCATGCTAATGTAAGGAAGCTGGTGTGTGCTGCTTTCTCCATTTTCCCTAGTTATCCAGCCTCAGATCCCAGCTCATGGAATGCTGCCATCCAGATTTAGCACGGGTCTTCCTTCCTCAATTAACTTTCCTGAAAACACCTGAATGGGAGGTCTGCAGGACAACAGAACATTCTGTCTGACACTCTGAGGCTGAGGCCAGGTTTGTTTATGTGGCCTCTGTGACAAGAACTCTACAAGTTAAAAAGGACGATTGGATGACTCCTGGCATAATGCCTAATGCTAAATTCATTTGAGTCAATTCCTTCTCTCCAGCCTTTTCCTATCCAGGTTAGGTCCTAGAAGCAGAAACTTTCAGATATAAAAATGGTGTTTGATTGGATACCCAGTCTCTACTATACCCTATTTACTTTATAGACCCAACTTACAAATGATTCCAGTAAAATGTTTCCAAAGAGCTGAGAGGCAGATGTGGTTAGATACCCCCTGTATTTACTTCTATTCTTGTGGTTCTGAGTCTTGAGTCATTCAGAGGAGGCTGTGACCTCCGAGGAGCACTAGGGAGCCAGTGTTGGTGACTGAGAACGGACCCTTTTCGAGAGAGGATAGATCTTGAGACTCGTGGACATTCACGAGAGAAGCCTGGCATCCAGAGTAAAGCTGAGGGGGGTGGGTGGTGAAGGGGACAGCACAAGACCCAGAGAGGGCTTCTGCAGGCCGGAGGAGGAGGAGAGGGCACCAGTGGCTGAGGAGTGCAGGGGGCGGCACCCCAGCCATGTGGGGAGTACAGAAAGGGAGAACTCCCTGGGAAAGATGAGGAGTGCAAAGGGTAGGGTCCAGAGAGCAGATAGAGTACACAGACTGCAAGGTTTCCAGTTGCTCAGCTGTGGCCATAAGAAGGAAGGAACGGAACGGGGTAAGAGAGGCTGCAGAAGAAACAGAGGGGTGTTCCCCTCTCCCTCCCTCCTCTCTCCCTCCCTCCCCGATGGAACAGGGAGGGGGGACATAGAGGTGGACGTGGATCCCTCCCATTACTTCTAGACCCATTTTTAGAGAGGTGGAAATCAGACTTATGAAAGTTTCTCAAGGTCCTGGGAAGCGAGGACTCTACCTCAACTCTGCAGTATAGCTCATTGAACAGAGATGGGAGGGAACCACTCAGAGGGGTGAGGTAAACACAGGTTAAGATCCCTGTGTGGTTTCTGCTCTGTACCTCCTTCTGTGAAGATGGAGGGGGGCAAGGAAGCGTGGTCCTGAGGGGCTTTGAGGGCTCAAGGGAGACGAAGTTCAAAGGCGGGCAAGCGGCAGAGGGATGCCCTGCAGGATGCAGTCATGATTCTCAGCTGAGTGCAGGGCTGACCTTTCACCCCGTGAGGTACCATAGCTGCAGGCACCTAACTTGTTCACACCTTGCTTCTCTTTCTCCCCTGGGAGAGGACGGAGGAACCCTGAGGTACAAACCTGACCACGCAGCTGAGCGAGAGGATATGCTGCTGAGGAGGACTCAGTAAACACCTTGCCTTTGTCTCTTCCACCTAGGGAAAATCCATCAAAAACAAGGATACCGCACGGTGTCTGGAGATCAGAAAGGACCCCTCGGGTTCCTACAGGCTTGTGTTAGAGAGCTGTACCCAACAGACATGGAAAATACAGCATATAGTCAGAAACTGGGGGCACTAACTGCCAGCGAGCCCCAAAGATGTGGATGTGGGGAGCTGTTTCTAAGACCCACAGTGCTTCCTGCACTGGGAGAGGAGAAGAGACAGACACGTGTTTGTCTGCTGTGACTTCAGCGAGTAGTTTACAGAGGTGAGGCCTGAGCACATGTCGGAGGGTCTGCTGGGGAGAGTGGTGGAAACTCTGAAGTCTCGTCCCAAGCTTGCCTCGAGAGATCGTGATAGGCATCAAGCGCCATTCCGGGAAATTTCTCAAAATAGCCAGCATCATCTGGCTGAGCTTCGGAGCAGAGAGAGGGATGAAAGTTTATCTTTGATTTCCACCAACGCTGTTTAGCCTTCATTCCTGACAGCTACTACCACCACCTGCCTCACACCTCCTCCCTGCTTCTCTGCTCCCCTCCCCAGACTGTCGTGGGCTGGGCCATGTGAGAGGCTGAATCCTCTTCATTCCAGAAGCCTGACAGCTACCCAGGTGGCCTCCATTCCCTCCCTGTCTGGATTATCCCGAAAGAGGCAGCAGGCAGATAAGTAACTTTCTGAAAGCCCTCTACCACACCCTCAGTGTAGAGAGAACTGTGTTATCTGGATGGCCAGTGTCTCCCACTGCGGCCTGGTCACACAGACGAGAGAAAGGGGAGGATCCTGTGTGTGTGTGCTGTAGGCGCCAGGGGTCCCCTGTAGAGTGGCCTCAGATGTATGGAAAGACATTTGGCTCCACTCCCAGTGGGGAGCTACCCAAAGGTGCACAGAGGTAAGTCTCCACAAATCGTACCACAGCACATTCTGTGGGCAGGAATGTGGGAAACAGGTCATCTCACACATCCGTGGCAGGGTTTGAAACTGGTGCCAGCTTCCTGGTGGGCTAATTGGCAAGATCTAAAAATAGTATTTGTGCATTTTCTCTTGGTGCCAAGAATTCCACCTCTAGAAATGTACCTCCAAAGTTAGGAAAATGGACTACCGAGACGGACAGCGCAGAGGGTAAAGGCATTGGCTGCCAAGCCTGACAACCCGAGTTTGTTCCCGGGATGCTGCACAGTGGAAGGAGCGAACTGACTCCTGAAAGTTGTCCTCTGAGCCACCCACACATGGGTGCACACATACAAAACACTAGATGCAGCAGACATGCATGAGGTATAAAAACAAATGTAAAGAGGGTAAGAAAATGTTCATGCACATAGTAGTCCCTGGCAGTATCAGTTCTAAGTGAAAACCGTTGGAGGTGAACTTCATGCCCAAGCATCAGAACAGTCCGTCAGAGACATCCACACAGAGGGTTGTCTGTACAGCTGTATAAGCCAGCAAGCAATGTCTGTGACTGATGTGCAAGGAGGAGCTGTGTGTCATGTTAAGTTATAAAAAAAAGAAAAACAAGTGTGTCTTGCAGATATCTTTTGATAAAAGCAAAGGGGGACATGTGATGTTCATTTCTACACAGCAAAAACAAAACAGAGACGCCTAAAGCTGGATGTGGAGGTTCCTAATTGTAATCCTAGCACCTGAAAGTGTGAGGCAGGAGGATTGTGAGTTTGAAGCCAGTTTGTGCTATGCAACATGATCCTGTATAAAAAAAAAAGAACAGGAGGAGACAAAACAAACTAAGAAGACTAAAGGAGAAACTAATGAAATCTGGTGGCAATGGGTGGTGGCTGGCTGGATGATGTAAAGGACTGGACTGGAGCTAGAAACATAACTGAAGGAATGTGTGTCCAGGGGCAGCTCTCCTCTAAATATAGGCTTATATAGCTTTGACATTTAGAGCAATGCTTCAAAATTAAATTACATAAAATCAGAGACAAAAACCTCAAATGGATTATAAACAAAAAGTGAATCTCACATATTTATTTTCTATTTTTATTGTTTAATGTGTGTGTGTGTGTGTGAGAGAGAGAGAGAGAGAGAGAGAGAGAAAGAAAGAGAGAGAGGAGAGAGAGAGGGGAGAGAGAGGAGAGAGAGAGAGAGAGAGAGAGAGAGAGAGAGAGAGAGAGAGAGAGAGAGAGAGAGAGAGAGAGAGAGAGAGAGAGAGAGAGAGAGCGCACATGCACGTGCTCGGGTGTGTTCTTTGTTCTAAGACAAAGGCTCATGTGGTCTAGGCTGACTTTAAACTCGTTATATAGTCATCCCTTAGGGGATGTCACTAACTTTTGACTGGTGCTAGGACACATTCCTGTGTTGAAAGCAAACAACTGTTCAAGGAAGGAAAAGCTGTCACAAATCATAGTGGCCAGATTGAAGGAGTCCCCACTGGCCATGTTAGGTACTGTGTGATTATCGGAGTCAAACATTAAAGTCAATTTAACAATAGATGATACCACAGAATAAAATAAAAACCCACAAGTCATTTTGAATGAATACATGAATGAGAAGAGTGTGCTTCTTTCACAGTAGAATGCCAGCTAATTAATATTGAAATGATTGTGAATTTGATAGTCACCATCTGGCACTTGCCATAGCTGGAATGGTCTCAAGCAAGAATTGTCATCAATGGACAAAATGAATGCTGAGAGACAGGATGCAAATATGGTGACAAAGTAACTTCCCTGGAGATATGTATTAACTACACAGGGAAAATGGAAAAACCTGGCAGACCTTAACGCAGTAACCAGTGTTAACATCGGCAGTTGTTGGATAGGTGGGTATCATTTGCCTCCCAGCAGCAGGAATATGGAATACAGAGCCTCAGGAATCTTGAGAAAACATTCAAGAAACCACAGCTGAGGGATGTTATCTAAGATAGTCTAATCTGATGAGGGGTTGCATGTCTGTAATCCTACTCTCAAGAGGCTGGTGCAGGAGGATTGTGAATTGGTGCTACACATCAGTGTAGCATAGTAAGACTCTGTCTCAAAACAAAACAACAACAAAGAAGACTTGACATAGCAAGATGCATGCTTCACATGTCAAAGGTCTCCACCCACAAAAAGCTCCCCCAAAGATTGGGGAACTTTCCATATTAAAATAGACTAAAGACACAATGATGGTGGTCCAATACAAGATCCTAGACTGGGGGGTGAGGGATACTCTCCCTCTTTGTAGAACAGCACTGGGCGATGGGTGGTGTTTGAATGGCGTTTGTTGCTTGGATGATAGTGCTGTGTCTATACTCTTTTCCTGGCCTGAATGTGGTCCCTGCCTGTAGAAGACAGTGTCCTTGATCTTATGAAATAGTCACTGACTGTATTGATAAGACCTTCTCTCAGATTTTTATGTGTAGGATAAATGACAGCTAGACTGATAGGTAGCTGGAGCCAAGGATAACAAGGAAGGAAAATATAGTGACACATGGACACATGTATGGATGAGCAGTGAAGGACATGCGAGAGTCCTTTGTGCTCTATTTGTAGCTTTCCTTTAAGCCTGAAATGGCTTCAAAATAAAAAGATTTTAACAAATCCAAACGCGAATTGCCCCATCTATGTAGACAGTCATTCCCTTTCTGTGGTTTTGTTGTCGACACATTTGGTTTCTTGAGGTCAAGTGGCTCAAAAGCATTAAATGGAAAATTCTAGAAATAATTCACAATTTTAAATAAGTTGGCCGGAAAGCTACAATAATGACCTTCTTGCGAGATACGACTGAGAAATGTTCTTCTTGCAGTAGATGATAATAAGCAGAGACCCATAACTGGGACACAAAAAGACTTTGGAGTGCTCATCCCTGAGTAGGATCATATTCCTCTTTTAAGGCTCAGAAGATGGGATGGAAAAAAGGATATGAGAGTCAGATGTGGTGGAAAACGTCAAGGAAACAGCATTTGTAGACACAATGGGGCAGATACACACATGAACTCACGGAGGCTGTGACAGCAGGCACAAGTCCAAGCTGGAGGAAATCTCAGCATGACGGTGGGGGCATGAGCACAAACCCCCTTTAGTCTATTCACAAGTGATAGCTGTGGGAGAGGGAAATCAGTTCTTTTCAACAGAGTGACAATGGGCAGGTTATCAACCACACTTCAGGGCTGGCCCCATGCTCGGGGTAGTTAGCACAAATCAGACACCATTGGCTTTCTGATTTTGAAGGTATTTTGTTTGTTTTTTAAGAGAGAGCAAGAACATGAAGTTGAGTGAGTAGGGGAGTATCTGGGAGGACTTGGAGAAGGGAAGGAGATGATAAAAATCTATTATATAAAATTACCAAAGAGCAAACATTATGAGGAGATGGCTCTTAAGGACCTGCGTTTGGGTCCCCAGAAGCATGTAAAAGGCCAGGAGTGGTGGTGCATGCTTGTAACCCCACAGCTTAGGGGAAGACAGAGACTGATCTGGGGACTTGTTAGCCAGCCGTCCTAGCCAAAATAGAGAGCTCCTGAGTCAACAAGAGAATCTACCTAAAAACCAGGTGGAGAGCAACAGAAAAAAAGACATGTTGCTCCCTGGAGCTTACCTGCCCCATTATGGGCATGCAGAATTGCATAAATCACATGCACACACACACACACACACACACACACACACACACACACACACACACACGAGGGAGGGGGGATGACAGAGAGACAGAGAGGGAGGCAGGTAGACAGAGAGACAGAGACAGTGGAAAGAAAGAAATTAAAAAGAAAATAAACTATTACGTTTTTCTCTAGTAACTTCTTTGTTATTGAGCTATTTCTCTTACTACATCTAATTTTAAAATTTAACTTTAGCATCACTGCACCTTTAATAAGAAAAATGTTGAGTATATAGGGTTTGCCACTACCCACTGCTTTCAGGATCCTGCCTATGAAGTGTTTCTTCCCTCTCGGCTATGGCTTTGGAAATAGCATCTGAACCTGATTTTGGGGTCCATCACTTGTAAGAGGAAACCTGCAACTCTCCCATGGGCATAGCTAATGTGACAAACTTCGTAGGCTCTGACTTTCCCTGCAGCTATGATCTGCAGGGCAGGGTGGTGTCTTGCTTGCCTCTTTCTGCACTCCAGAGGCTTTTTAGAGGGCCCCACTTCTGCGGTTGTGGTCTATTTCAACATCATCCAGAGGGCATGTGAAGGTCATATCAGTGGCTGACTACATCTGACCACATCAATTATTCACAGTCTTTTCTTCCTGAGTCTTGGGGATGCTGGAGCACACCTGTCATCAACAGCAGGCATGGCAGGCTAACCACTGCTAACCTGGGAGTGAACCAGCCACAAACACCTGGCAGAGAACGAATTCTGCGTTTCCCTTGGAATTCTGCAAGTGTGACGCTGCCAGGCTCTCCCAGATGACCAGACAGTGATGGTCCCAGGAGTGTCTTCAAATGTCCATTTTCTTCCTGTCCTGTCTCTCCTCTGGGTTTTCAGATACTGTCACTGATGTAGTCCTTCTGGGTTCCAGGGTGAAGCCCTGATGAACACCTCCAAGGAACTACAATCGTACAAGGTACAATTATCAGGCTCAGCTCCCCTTTCTAGTCCAAACTAGCCTTTTACTCACTCTGTAGCTCATCAGGCCTTGAATTTACAATCCTTTTGTCTAGGCCCACTACTGGGATGGGATTATAGGAGCACAACACCAGCGCTTCATCTGCTCTTCTTTTCTCTCCTCTCCTCCCTGTCCCCACTCCCCCTCCCTTGTTTTGGTTAGGGATGATGGAGAGGGAGGGGAAGGTGAGCTATGTAATTGACTAATTGGGAACTTGCTATGTAAATGAGAGAGAAGCTTCAAATTTGTGGAACTCCTTTTGCCTCTGCCTACTGAATGCTGAGATTATAAACATTAGCCATTATGCCAGACTTTTCTTCCACTTTTTAAAGCTTTTCGTTACTGTCTTAAATGAGTTGTGGGCCCTGCTTTTGGTACATTTCTATTCAGAGTTAAAGTGAAGGAGTGGGGCTCACACTTTGCTGTCTCCACAGGGGCTGGGACCTGAGACCCAAACCTGCTGTTCTGGTATCAAGGCTGCTTCTCCCCTTCCAGAGCCTACACGGTGCCCCTCTCTGGGCTTGACTAGTCTTGTCTTGAGTAGTCTTCCTATGAGAAAATTCCTTCCCAAAATGCACAGGAAAATTCCTATTTTCCCAATCCCAAATTCCAAGAAAAAAGCCAGTTGAGAAAACAGGAAAACGCTTTGCAGTTTTTCTTCAAGAGTTAAAACATCACACATGGGATGATATGTTGAAGGTTTGAAGGAAGCACGTGTGTCAAATGGCACTGGAGTGCAGGAAATAGACACGCTCCAAAATTAAGGTCGGTATTTTCAAAACCCAGGACAGGAGCAAGAAGAGAAAAAGCAATCATGACGACGGGAATCGGCTGTTCTTCCTTAAGTGTGTGCAGCATCCCTGTGATGTAAACGTGCGAGTTCATCTGTCTTCTTCCACAGTGACTGGGGAACGACAATTCTCTCAGTGGGGTTTTATGCAGAGCTATTTGTCCACAGCTGAGTTTATCGTGCTTCATAGAAAGCACCACACAATTCTTACGAATGGTGTTTTCAAAAGTAACAGATTTTTGAAAGCAAACTACATGCTATAATTGGAATTTTCCACCTGTCATTCATTCTGCCTGGAGCTGCTGACTTCACGAAGAAATCTGAATATTCCGTTATTTGAACACACACAACAGTGTTTGTGGACATTTCCCAGCATTTGAAATGCTATAAATCACACTTTTGTGAAATTACTAATTTTAACATGTCTACCCCTGTGTCTTATATTTTTTGAGACAAGGTTTTGCTAAGCATCCAAGGTTGGCTTTGAACCCTCAGCCCTTCTGTCTCATTTTTCTGAGTGCTGAATACAGGTAGGGTTATCATGTCCAATATAGATCCAATATTCCTGACATATGAAATAGCTTTTTAGTTTTGCATACATGACTATTATAATTACCATTAGAAATGCTTAGCGAATTTTCAGAGCCCTCCTTGTTCACTCCTGACTCATT